AAGCGTCGTGGTAACGTCACCGCCACTAGTGGCGAATGGCGGTTGTTGTTGTTGTGTATATATGAGTGTGTGTGTACATGAGTATGTGTGTGTTTGTGTGTGTACGTGAGTGTGGGAGTACGCGGATGTGTACGTGATTGTGTAAGTGATTGTGTATGTGATTGTGTATGTGATTGAGTACGTGATTGAGTACGTGATTGAGTGTATACCCGTGTGTATACATGACAGTGTGTACACGACTGTGAGAAAGTGTGTGCGAGTGTGTGTAGGTGTGTGTGTAGGTATGTGTGTGTGTAGGTATGTGTGTGAGATTGTGTGTGAGTGTGTGTGTGAGTGTGTGAGTGTGTGTGATCCAATCTCCGACCCCCAGGAACAGGTTTGCAGATTTGCTGAGCATTTCTGTGAGGTCCTGGGGGAGGGAAATTCTCTCAGCCAGGAAAACATCATGGCACAAAGTGGGGATAACCCTGCTGAGGCTGCGGTGCCTCAAATATTGGAAGAGGTCACCCCCTGTGAGTGGCTGGCTGAGGTTCCAGCTGTTGAGGAAGTACTGAGGGCGATCCGGAGTCTGAGACCAGGGAAGGCACCGGGCAGAGATGATCTCCCAAGCGAAATGCTGAGGGAGGGTGGCGTTTGTGCACAGACTGCCCTATATGACATCATAACAACAGTCTGGACCACTGGACGGGTTCCGCAGGACTGGAAGGATGCCCTGGTGGTCCCCCTCTTTAAGAAGGGGGACCGCACAGACTGTAACAACTACAGGGGCATCTCACTCCTCAGTGTGCCGGGTAAGGTCCTGGCAAGGATTATTCAACATCGCCTTGCTAGGCACGCTGAGGAGGGGCTTGCGGAGCCCCAATGCGGTTTCAGGAAAGGGCGGTCCTGCACAGATGCCATATTTTCTGTCCGTCTGCTACAGCAGAGGTGTAGGGAATTCCAAAAAGACCTACATCTCTGCTTTATTGACCTGGTCAAGGCCTATGATACCATCAGTAGGACTGGACTCTGGGTTGTTCTTCGTGCTTTCGGAGTCCCTGACCCTCTGCTCACGATCATTAAGGACCTTCATGATGGTGAGCGGGCCCGGGTAAAACTACGTGGCCGGGAGTCGGAGCCTTTCCCTGTACACCTTGGGGTGCGACAGGGATGTCCTCTGGCTCCCACATTATTTAACATCTATTTTGACCGCGTAGTTCGTGAAGCCTTCAATAGCTGTACCGGGGGAATTTCCGTTTGGTACAGATATAATGGGAGGCTGATCGACGCCCGGGTGCGATCAAGGGATGGCTCCCTATTGGTCAACCACGTTATGTATGCCGATGATTTGGTAATGGCTGCTCATTCAGAGGAGGAGTTGGAGGCGCTGCTGCTGAGACTGGAGCGTGCCACTAAGAGGTGGGGCCTTACCATCAGCCCCACCAAAACCAAGCACCTGCCTGGGTATTTTGTACCATCGGACACTCCACCCCCACAACTCCCAATTGGTGATGGGGCAGTTGTGGAGAGAGTGGAGAGTTTCCCATACCTGGGCAGTGTGCTTATGACCGGCTCCAGTCTATCAGCAGAGGTCTCACTCCGAATCAGTCGAGCGGCAATATCTTTTCATCGGTTGCGTAACGCTGTGTGGAAGCTACCTGGTCTGTCGCTCCGCACGAAGCTTCAGGTCTTCTCGGCCACGGTCATTCCCTCCCTTCTCTACGCTTGCGAGACGTGGACCCCCCTGGTGGAGCATCTTCGCCGGTTGGAAACATTTAGGCTGGCCTGCCTACGATCCATCCTGGGTTTAACCAGGCTGGATTGTGTGAGGAGCTCACAAATCCTTGAAAGATCTGGGCAAAGTCCCATCAGTGAGCTCCTCCGGCAGGCAAGGCTGCGTTGGCTGGGTCATGTAGCCCGCATGCCCAGCCACCGCATGCCTAAACAGCTTTTGTTCGGCCGGATCGAGGGGGCTAGACGGGCGCGGCACGGGCTGGAGAAGAGATGGAGTGATGTGGTACAGGAGGACGTGGAGCTGAGTGGACTTGCCGATGACTGGTACCAGCGGTGTCAAGATCGGCCTCAGTGGAGGAGGCTCGTGAAGGACGCTACTGGGCAGTTGGAGGCAGTCGCCCTCCAACAACAACGGAGGGCGGAGGAGCGACGCTCACAACAACGAGCGGAGCGCCGGGTGGCTAAAGCACAGCAAGTTGGCACAGTAGGGGGCACAGGTGGTGCATCAGCCAGTCATCTCGGTCATCTCGGTCAGTCGACCAGTGGCACCTGGGTCTGCCCCGTGACCTCCTGCCAGCGGGCTTTCGACACTTCACGTGGCCTCAAGGTGCACTTGGCCTGGCACAAGCATCGTGGTGACGTCACCGCCACTTAGTGGCGAATGGCGGTTGTTGTTGTGTGTAGGTGTGAGTGTGTGTAGGTGTGAGTGTGTGAGAGCGAGTGAGTATGTGAGTGAGTGAATATAGTGAGTATGTGAATGAGCGAGTACGCGAGTATGTGAGTGAGTATGTGAGTGAGTGAATGAGTGAGTACGTGAGTATGTGAGTGAGCGAGTATGCGAGTGAGTATGTGAATGAGCGAGTGAGTGAACGAATGAGTATGTGAGCGAGTGAGTATGTGAGTGAGTGAATGAGTGAGTACGTGAGTATGTGAGTGAGCGAGTGAGTACACAAGTGAGTATGTGAGTATGTGAGTGAGTGTGAGTGTTAGTACGCAAATATGTGATGAGTGAATGAGTAAGCAAGTGAGTACGCTAGTGAGTGAGTATGTGAGTGAGCGAGTGAGTATATGAGCTAGTAACTGACAACAACATCACATCACAACACAACAACCATCACAACAACACCACAACAACCATCACAACAACAACCACCATCACAACATCACAACGACATCACAACAACCATCACAACAACCATCACAACAACAACCACCATCATCACAACAGCACAACAACATCACAATAACCATCACAACAACCATCACAACAACCATCACAACATCACAACAACCATCACAACAACATCACAACAACCATCACAACAACCATCACAACAACATCACAACAACCATCACAACAACATCACAACAACCATCACAACACGACAACAAAACCACAACAACTATCACAACAACCATCACAACAACATCACAACAACCATCACAACAACCATCACAACAACATCACAACAACATCACAACAACCATCACAACAACCATCACAACAACATCACAACAACCATCACAACAACCATCACAACAACATCACAACAACCATCACAACAACATCACAACAACCATCACAACACGACAACAAAACCACAACAACCATCACAACAACCATCACAACAACACCACAACATCACAACACCACAACAACCATCACAACAACAACCATCACAACACCACAACCATCACAACAACAATCACAACAACCACCACAACAACACCACAACAACACCACAACAACAACCATCACAACAACAACCATCACAACAACAACACCACAACAACCACCATCACAACAACAACACCACAACAACCACCACAACAACAACCATCACAACAACAACCATCACAACAACAACACCACAACAACCACCATCACAACAACAACAACACCACAACAACAACACCACAACAACCACCATCACAACAACAACCATCACAACAACAACACCACAACAACCACAACAACAACCACCACAACAACACCACAACAACAACCATCACAACAACCAACAACTCCGTCTAGTCGACTCGTCGACCAAGGCGCCTAGGCCCGCCGGATCGATCCACGCGGAGAGAATCGACACCGCGCGACTCCTCGCCACCTTTACTAATGAGCGAGAGCGATTCTCGGAGTCGCGAACATAACGATTCCTCTTGACGTTCCCTAGAAAACCGTTGAGAGAAAGCGATTCTCGGAGTCGCGAACATATCGATTCCTCCTGACGCTCAGTAGCGAACCAATTGAAGTGAATCGATTTTATTTGTAATCATCGATTTAAAAAAAAAAGATTCCTTAAGTTGGTTGTTCAACGGCTTTAATCGATTTCGTAATCGAATTCGTGAAGGGTTAACATGATTCCCTTAATTATTATTTATATTTTAAAACTATTTCATGACAACGGTTTTCAGTGTTGAATCGATTCACCGAAGCAATCATTCGATCGATATTTTACATCGATTTTATTGAAACCGTTTCCGTAAGTGAATCGATCCCTTTAGCGCGTCAACGAGAATCGACCGCGAGAATCCGTTACCCCCAACCGCGTTCAATTCAAGCGGCCTCCGAATATGTTAATGAGCTTCGGTGGCCACGCCTCCTTCGTCAGTGGCCACGCCCCCTCGTCAGTGACCACGCCCCCTCGTCAGTGACCACGCCCCCTCGTCAGTGACCACGCCCCCTCGTCAGTGGCCACGCCCCTCGTCAGTGGCCACGCCCCCTCGTCAGTGGCCACGCCCCCCTCGTCAGTGGCCACGCCCCCTCGTCAGTGGCCACGCCCCCTCGTCAGTGACCACGCCCCCTCGTCAGTGGCCACGCTCCCTCGTCAGTGGCCACGCCCACTCGTCAGTGACCACGCCCCCTCGTCAGTGACCACGCCCCTCGTCAGTGGCCACGCCCCCTCGTCAGTGGCCACGCCCCCTCGCCAGTGGCCACGCCCCCTCGTCAGTGGCCACGCCCACTCTCAGCATCGCTCATTGAGACAAAGCTCCCCCGGGCTGCCCTGGGCAGTGAGTGGGGCAAGTGCACTTGGCGACTGGCCAGCGACCACGCCCGGCCGCCTTCGTCTCCCTAGAGACATCGCGCTGCGTACTCATTAAAGGCTGAGTCGATCTAGGGGAGGCCAGGGGTTGCGTGGGTGCTGGCGGGGGGAAGTGCGCTAACCGCTGCACCACCGCTCCCTTCCACTGTCCCCGCCCACCCACTCGTAGGCCCCTCCCCCTGCACCCTTCCCCCGCCCCGCCCCCCAGGCGGCTCAGTGCGCATGCGCGACCCCGCCTATTGGAATGCGTGCGAGCCTGGTTCCCTGTGTGCGTGAGACACGGATAGCACTTAGACACTTAGTAGACGCACACTTAGACACACACACACTTAGTAGACGCACACTTAGACATACACACACACTTAGACTTACACACACTTAGTAGACTCACACACACTCAGACATACACACACTCAGACATACAGTTAGTAGACGCACACTTAGACACACACACACTCAGACACACACACTTAGTAGATACACACTCAGACATACACACACTTAGACATACAGTTAGTAGACACACTTAGTAGACGCACACTTAGACATACACACACACTTAGACTTACACACACTTAGTAGACGCACACTTAGACATACACACACACTTAGACTTACACACTTAGACTTACACACACTTAGTAGACGCACACTCAGACATACACTTAGTAGACGCACACTCAGACATACACACACTTAGACTTACAGTTAGTAGACACACACTCAGACATACACACACTCAGACATACACACACTTAGACTTACACACTTAGTAGACACACACTTAGACACACACACTTAGACTTACACACACTTAGTAGACGCACACACACACACTTAGTAGATACACTTAGACATACACACACTTAGTAGACGCACACACACACACTTAGACACTTAGGAGACACACTTAGACTTACACACACTTAGACACTTAGTAGACACACAGACACACTTAGACACACTTAGTAGACACACACAGGCACACACACAGGCACACACACAGGCACATACACTTAGTAGACACACACAGACACACACACACAGACACATACACTTAGTAGACACACACACAGACAGACACATACACTTAGTTGACATACACACACACACAGACACACACACAGACAGACACATACACTTAGTTGACATACACACACACACAGACACACACAGACATACACACACACACAGACACACAGCCACACACACAGACAGACACACAGCCACACACACAGTCACACACATACAGACACACACACAGGCACAGTCACACAGACACAGACACACACAGACACACACACAGACACACAGACACACAGCCACACACACAGACAGACACACAGCCACACACACACACAGACACACACACAGACACACACAGACACACACACACAGACACACACAGACAGACAGCGAGAGAGAGAGAGGGAACGAGGAAGAGAGAGGAACGAGGCGGCCCTGCTCTGCAAGAGACGCGGGACGACTGGTGAAGTGGTGAGTGGGGAGTGGGGAGTCTGTAGGATTCTATAGGGTTCTGTAGGATTCTGTAGGGTTCTGTAGGGGTCTGTAGGGTTCTGTAGGGGAGGGGGGTCTGTAGGGTGGGGAGTCTGTAGGGTGGGGAGTCTGTAGGGTGGGGAGTCTGTAGGGTGGGGAGTCTGTAGGGTGGGGAGTCTGTAGGGTGGGGAGTCTGTAGGGTGGGGGGTCTGTAGGGTGGGGAGTCTGTAGGGTGGGGAGTCTGTAGGGTGGGGAGTCTGTAGGGTGGTGAGTCTGTAGGGTGGGGGGTCTGTAGGAGTCTGTAGGGTGGTGAGTCTGTAGGGTGGGGAGTCTGTAGGAGTCTGTAGGGTGGTGAGTCTGTAGGGTGGGGGGTCTGTAGGGTGGGGGGTCTGTAGGGTGGGGAGTCTGTAGGGTGGTGAGTCTGTAGGGTGGGGAGTCTGTAGGGTGGTGAGTCTGTAGGGTGGGGGGTCTGTAGGGTGGGGGGGTCTGTAGGGTGGGGGGTCTGTAGGGTGGGGGGTCTGTAGGGTGGGGAGTCTGTAGGGTGGGGAGTCTGTAGGGTGGGGGGTCTGTAGGGTGGGGAGTCTGTAGGGTGGGGAGTCTGTAGGGTGGGGGGTCTGTAGGGTGGGGAGTCTGTAGGGTGGTGAGTCTGTAGGGTGGGGGGGTCTGTAGGGTGGTGAGTCTGTAGGGTGGGGAGTCTGTAGGGTGGGGGGTCTGTAGGGTGGGGAGTCTGTAGGGTGGGGAGTCTGTAGGGTGGGGGGTCTGTAGGGTGTGTGAGGTCTGTAGGGTGGGGAGTCTGTAGGGTGGGGAGTCTGTAGGGTGGGGAGTCTGTAGGGTGGGGAGTCTGTAGGGTGGGGGAGTCTGTAGGGTGGGGAGTCTGTAGGGTGGGGAGTCCTGTAGGGTGGGGAGTCCTGTAGGGTGGGGGGTCTGTAGGGGGGGAGTCTATAGGGTGGGGAAGTCTGTAGGGTGGGGAGTCTATAGGGTGGGGAGTCTGTAGGGTGGGGAGTCTGTAGGGTGGGAGTCTGTAGGGTGGGGAGTCTGTAGGGTGGGAGTCTGTAGGGTGGGGAGTCTGTAGGGTGGGGAGTCTGTAGGGTGGGGAGTCTGTAGGGTGGGGAGTCCTGTAGGGTGGTGAGTCTGTAGGGTGGGGAGTCTGTAGGGTGGGGAGTCTGTAGGGGTGGGGAGTCTGTAGGGTGGGAGTCTGTAGGGTGGGGAGTCTATAGGGTGGGGAGTCTGTAGGGTGGGGAGTCTGTAGGGTGGGGAGTCTGTAGGGTGGGGAGTCCTGTAGGGTGGGGAGTCTGTAGGGTGGGGAGTCTGTAGGGTGGGGAGTCTGTAGGGTGGGGAGTCTGTAGGGTGGGGAGTCTGTAGGGTGGGGGGTCTGTAGGGTGGGGAGTCTGTAGGGTGGGGAGTCTGTAGGGTGGGGAGTCTGTAGGGTGGGGGTCTGTAGGGTGGGGAGTCTGTAGGGTGGGGAGTCCTGTAGGGTGGGGAGTCTGTAGGGTGGGGAGGTCTGTAGGGTGGGGGGTCTGTAGGGTGGGGAGTCTGTAGGTGGGGGGTCTGTAGGGTGGGGAGTCTGTAGGGTGGGGAGTCTGTAGGGTGGGGGGTCTGTAGGGTGGGGGTCTGTAGGGTGGGGGGTCTGTAGGGTGGGGAGTCTGTAGGGTGGTGAGTCTGTAGGGTGGGGAGTCTGTAGGGTGGGGGGTCTGTAGGGTGGGGAGTCTGTAGGGTGGGGGGTCTGTAGGGTGGGGGGTCTGTAGGGTGGGGAGTCTGTAGGGTGGGGAGTCTGTAGGGTGGGGGGTCTGTAGGGTGGGGGGTCTGTAGGGTGGTGAGTCTGTAGGGTGGGGAGTCTGTAGGGTGGGGGGTCTGTAGGGTGGGGAGTCTGTAGGGTGGGGAGTCTGTAGGGTGGGGGGTCTGTAGGGTGGGGGGTCTGTAGGGTGGGGGGACTGTAGGGTGGGGAGTCTGTAGGGTGGGGGGGTCCTGTAGGGTGGGGGGTCTGTAGGGTGGGGGGTCTGTAGGGTGGGGGGTCTGTAGGGTGGGGGGTCTGTAGGGTGGGGGGGTCTGTAGGGTGGGGAGTCTGTAGGGTGGGGGGTCTGTAGGGTGGGGGTCCTGTAGGGTGGGGGGGTCTGTAGGGTGGGGGGTCTGTAGGGTGGGGGGTCTGGAGGGTGGGGGGTCTGTAGGGTGGGGGGTCTGTAGGGTGGGGGGTCTGTAGGGTGGGGAGTCTGTAGGGTGGGGGGTCTGTAGGGTGGGGGGTCTGTAGGGTGGGGTCTGTAGGGTGGGGGGTCTGTAGGGTGGGGGTCTGTAGGGTGGGGAGTCTGTAGGGTGGGGGGTCTGTAGGGTGGGGGGTCTGTAGGGTGGTGAGTCTGTAGGGTGGGGGTCTGTAGGGTGGGGAGTCCTGTAGGGTGGGGAGTCTGTAGGGTGGGGGTCTGTAGGGTGGGGAGTCCTGTAGGGTGGGGGGTCTGTAGGGTGGGGGGTCTGTAGGGTGGGGGTCTGTAGGGTGGGGAGTCTGTAGGGTGGGGGGTCTGTAGGTGGGGGGTCTGTAGGGTGGGGAGTCTGTAGGGTTGGGGAGTCTGTAGGGGAGGGGGGTCTGTAGGGTGGGGGGTCTGTAGGTGTGGGGAGTCTGTAGGGTGGGGAGTCTGTAGGGGAGGGGGGTCTGTAGGGTGGGGGGTCTGTAGGGTGGGGAGTCTGTAGGGGTCTGTAGGAGTCTGTAGGGGAGTCTGTAGGAGTCTGTAGGGGAGGGTAGTAGTGGGTGTGTGTCGACTGTGGATTGAAATCCGCTGTGCGCCCTGCAAACTTCAGATTTCGCTTCCTCAATCACCTCGGTTGGGCTGGGTGGGGAGAGGCGTGGGCTGGGTGGGGAGAGCCGTGGGCTGGGTGGGGAGAGCCGTGGGCTGGGTGGGGTGAGCCGTGGGCTGGGTGGGGTGAGCCGTGGGCTGGGTGGGGAGAGCCGTGGGCTGGGTGGGGAGAGCCGTGGGCTGGGTGGGGTGAGCCGTGGGCTGGGTGGGGTGAGCCGTGGGCTGGGTGGGGAGAGCCGTGGGCTGGGTGGGGAGAGCCGTGGGCTGGGTGGGGAGAGCCGTGGGCTGGGTGGGGAGAGCCGTGGGCTGGGTGGGGAGAGCCGTGGGCTGGGTGGGGTGAGCCGTGGGCTGGGTGGGGTGAGCCGTGGGCTGGGTGGGGAGAGCCGTGGGCTGGGTGGGGAGAGCCGTGGGCTGGGTGGGGAGAGCCGTGGGCTGGGTGGGGAGAGCCGTGGGCTGGGTGGGGAGAGCCGTGGGCTGGGTGGGGAGAGCTGTGGGCTGGGTGGGGAGAGACGGGCTGGGTGGGGAGAGCCGTGGGCTGGGTGGGGAGAGCCGTGGGCTGGGTGGGGTGAGCCGTGGGCTGGGTGGGGAGAGCCGTGGGCTGGGTGGGGAGGCGTGGGCTGGGTGGGGAGAGCCGTGGGCTGGGTGGGGAGAGCCGTGGGCTGGGTGGGGAGAGCCGTGGGCTGGGTGGGGAGAGACGCGGGCTGGGTGGGGAGAGCCGTGGGCTGGGTGGGGAGAGCCGTGGGCTGGGTGGGGAGAGACGCGGGCTGGGTGGGGAGAGCCGTGGGCTGGGTGGGGAGAGACGCGGGCTGGGTGGGGAGAGCCGTGGGCTGGGTGGGGTGAGCCGTGGGCTGGGTGGGGAGAGCCGTGGGCTGGGTGGGGAGAGGCGTGGGCTGGGTGGGGAGAGCCGTGGGCTGGGTGGGGTGAGCCGTGGGCTGGGTGGGGAGAGCCGTGGGCTGGGTGGGGAGAGACGCGGGCTGGGTGGGGTGAGCCGTGGGCTGGGTGGGGTGAGCAGTGGGCTGGGTGGGGTGGGAGCCGTGGGCTGGTGGGGAGAGACGCGGGCTGGGTGGGGTGAGCCGTGGGCTGGGTGGGGAGAGACGCGGGCTGGGTGGGGAGAGGCGTGGGCTGGGTGGGGAGAGCCGTGGGCTGGGTGGGGAGAGACGCGGGCTGGGTGGGGTGAGCCGTGGGCTGGGTGGGGAGAGACGCGGGCTGGGTGGGGAGAGCCGTGGGCTGGGTGGGGAGAGCCGTGGGCTGGGTGGGGAGAGCCGCGGGCTGGGTGGGGAGAGGCGTGGGCTGGGTGGGGAGAGACGCGGGCTGGGTGGGGAGAGCCGTGGGCTGGGTGGGGAGAGACGCGGGCTGGGTGGGGAGAGCCGTGGGCTGGGTGGGGAGAGCCGTGGGCTGGGTGGGGAGAGACGCGGGCTGGGTGGGGAGAGCCGTGGGCTGGGTGGGGAGAGACGTGGTGATGATGGTGTCCCATGTGACGGTGCCCCGTGTAACACACGCGTGTTACGTGTGTGGTTGATGTATGTTACATGTGTGGTAGATGTGTGTTACATGTGTGGTAGATGTATGTTACATGTGTGGTAGATGTGTGTTACATGTGTGGTAGATGTATGTTACATGTGTGGTAGATGTGTGGTAGATGTATGTGTTAGCTGCGTGTCACCACCTCTGTGTGAACCCGCGTGGGGAGCGGTGGCGCAGTGGTTGGCGCTGCGCCGCGAACCCCGGTGACCCCCGGTGACCCCGCTGACCCCGGCGGTGGCAAGGGTCTCTAGGTGCACCTAGCCTGGCACAAGCGAACGGCTTCAGTTGTTGCTCCGGTTGTTGTGGTTGTTGTTGGTGGTGGTGGTGGTAGCGGTGGAGTTGGGTGCGGTGATCACACTGCACCGCCACCCGGGCCTCCCCTAGGTCGACTCGGCCTCAAACGAGTGCCCGGTGCGGTGTGCGGTAATCATCGGCACTGGGGAGACAAAGGCGGCCGGGCGGGCGGGGTGCCGGCCACCCCCAACCCCTTCCCAGGTGCTGCTGCACTTGCCCCGACAGCCTGCGAAGGCTACACGGGTGACCTTTGTCTTTGGTGTTCTCTGCCCTCTCTCTACCGCTTCCTCCACCTGCTCCTCCTCCTCCCGCGAGCCGTTCCCTGTTCCGTTCCTGTGCCGACGTTTCGATTTGAGCCAATCCCAGGAACCCAACGAGAACCCCCTTCTGAACACCACGGCA